ATCCTTTTAAAATTATTAAATGACACTAAATCTAGAATATTTTGATGCATTCGCAAAAATGCAAGATTTTAGCAAAGTATAGCTCGGGGTCCTGTGGTAACTTATCATGAAGGTTAAAGTCAAATTAGAGTTAAAATTCATTATTTCTAGGCTACTAAAGCCATATTTTATCCCGTGATAATAGTCACGTTGTGATTTATTAGTGTCCTCTCTAAATGCACGCTCTAGAGCTGGTCCCTTAAAGAGGTCTGGCTGTACTGTAAATCGATAGATTCAAAAACTTGAAAATCAAGTTTTTGTTTGATTTTGCCGAGCACTATTAAAGATTGATTTTTTTTTTTTTTGGCAAACTTTATTTTGTATAAATATAGTATTTTCTATAATACCTTATATTAATTAAAATATAGGACAAATTATACTATAATAATACAAATTACTGTATTATATTTTTAAACCTTTTTTAATTTTATTTGCCCCAAAACTTTAAACAATAAACAAATTACTTTAGTACAATAATTCTACTAGCAAATTTTAACTTTATTTATTAATAATAGATAGATAGTTTTAAATAATCTTTATACTTATGAGTTGAATAAATACGAATAAAATGATTTGAAATAACAGTAAATAAATATTTATGTTTTTATTTTGTGAACTTGATTTTATAATTTAGTTTCACGGATTAATGATCTTTATATTCCAGGCTGAATATTATATAATGAAACATAAGTATTTATAGGACTAGCCTAATCTGAGGTTTTTCCTATATGAGATTTATTCAAGAATGAATTAGAATAGAAAACCATTAATGTATCATTTCATCTTACATCACTAGTGATCTGTGATCTACTTAAAAATAAATTAAAAATATCTCTCTATCAACTTTATTAAAAATATAAATTATATAATACTGTATCCTTCTCTTCATATCGTTTCTAAAAATTTTTTATTTTTATAAATTTAAATAAAAATAAAAAATAAAATAAAAAATAAACTATAGTTATTTTTCATGTTATCCAAAGTCGCCAAACCACATCAGGTACTTTTCATAACTTCAAATTTGCACTATTTATAGATTATCGATATAACCCATATGTTTTTTAAAATGTAGGCAGCACGATGGGAATCTTCTTCTATTGTTAACATATACTTTCCTAACGATGCATTCATTAACGAAAATGGAGAAGCAATTGGAAGAGGATGGTATGAATCAAGTTTACAACTTGGACGTATTGTTATTGGTAAAGGATTGATCATAGGATATGGTGGTAAAGAGATCATTCTTGAGAATTATGAAATACTTTGTGGTAATGATGAATACTTCCAGTGGATTAAACGGTAAATAATTTGGTAAATTTTCATAAATTATAGAATAATCAAAAAAAAAAAGAATCATTTTACCGAATTAATAAGTTATTGACGTAAATAAACTTATTTATTCGACCGAATGATAATCGACTTGTTGCCCCAGCAAAGATTTATGAAAAATAGTTATTACGGAATTTATACTTATTACTCGGAATATTCTTTTAATTAATTTGGAGATTTTGGAAAGTTTCAAGATTCGAGTAACAAGTATAATGATAATGGAGTTATTCTATCGTAATGTAATCTTAATATTCCTGTTTTTATTAGTCATGGACCTTATAAACCAGCGTTATTCATTGTACCTCTTGAAGCAGGTCATGAATCGGTAAGTTATACGTAATAACTTACAAGAAAATTTTAGTAACATATTACTAAATATATTTTTGATAGGATCAACGAGAACTATATGTAGCAAGAACGCTGCATAACGGGCATTATATTTATGGAAAAGCTGGTTGGGTAAGTCAATCAAAAAATTTTCTACTGTATATAATTCTTTTATTTTACCTTTTTTTTTCTTTAAATAGCATTTGAAGCAGGGAATGAGTTATGCTATTGACAAACGAGAGTTTTGTGCAAAAGATTACGAAATTTTAACCATTAGCAAATGAAGTAAATACAATGATTGATGATAATATTTTTTCTATTTGTGTTATAAAACATGTAATTTTTTAACGTTAATATTGTAATAATTAACTAGGAACTGGAAACCAGTAAAAGTCCGGAGCATAAAAGTGTATAGGAAGCAGTACAAATCGATCAGTATTGGTA